TATATTTATATGATTATAGAAATAGTTTGATAATTCGTTGATATATTTATCATTTTCGACATATTGCACAATGCACTTTTGAAAATAACGGCTCAATGTTGTAGAACGATTCAACGATTGTCACGAATAGAAGAAAAAGATTAATGAATTGTGTCGGATTTGAGTCTTAATCCGAATATATATATATATATATATATATATAATATATGCTATACGTGAGCACGCAACCATTACATATATTTGGTAGTCTGTACGTATTTTTACCGTCATGATAAATATATATAAATATACGGTCTATCGAGAGAACGTTGTCCGCATATTCGAAAGAAAAATTTTACTAAATCATTTTATTTAAAAAAAAACAAGCGGAGAGAATGTAAAAGGAATTTAAAAATATATGCTTTCAATATTATATATGTAAAAAAAGTTGTAGATGGAAAATGAAAGACGCTATACTTTATTATTTCGTTGTAAATAATTTTCTCCGGGGGGAGGGGGGGAGTCTGTTGTAAATATTTCTCCCAAGTAATAAATGTAGTTGTTAAACAAGACGACAAAATTTCTTAACGTTAAGATTGTAGAATTCCATGCTTTTCGCAATTGGTTGAACACGAGAGGAAGATGTAGAAACAAAAAGCCATACGACTTATCAGAAACTCCCCGATCGTATCTTTTTCACAGATAGAGATACAATACACCATGCACTACACACATCTATAAGATATACACACAGCGAAGGCAATCAGGAGAGATCTTGGATGAACTAATTGATTGCCTGTGCTCTGTGTACAAGTGAAATTAAAAAAGTTGACTTCCAGGTCGACGCCTCGGTAAACGCCTCGGCTGCTAATTTCCCCGATACCGAACATCTACTCGCGCAGCCGTTTCACGCTCGCAATATCAATTATCGCTATCTCCGTGTGCCGTTAATCGTCGCGAATACAAGAGGCCGCAGTGCGGTGCGTGTATGGACGGGTAATAACGCGTGCAAATTGTACGACGTTATGCGAGCGACGTGACATCGTTCGCGCAGCAAGTAGAATCCTTCCATTCTATATCCTCTTCTGCGAAAAGTTTTTTATTACACTGCTTGGCGATTTTATAAAGGCAATAAAGATAACGTTCTTCTCTCGCGCGAAGTTCTATCCAAATTGTAGTAATCTGAAAAAGAATTGCCACAGAAAAAAATTTCAAGTACACAATGATTTTGAATAATCTAAATCGGAAGAATTATTCAATTATTTAATTGGAATATTATTTATAATATTATATAATATTATATAATATTATAATTTTAAAAAGATAAAAAGAGTATATTGCTCAAATTTTATTGATTAACACTTTCAACACATTATCTTATCTTAGTTTCTTTAAGGCAATGCTAAAGTTAGAGGAAAGATATATAAATTTATTCATTACATTCTTGCGCTCTAATCGGTATTCACTCTGAAATTTCGTTAATTGATATTTGCGGTTTCGGTGTAATTTCAAATTAATGCATCTTTAACGTAATAAAATAATTTTTTTTTTCATTTTAAAATTCGAGGAATAAGATTATGCTACTTAAAATTATGTAAATATTAACAAATAAATAAATTTTTGGGACAAGAATTCTAAATATATCAAGAAATGATGAAAATGGACTAATGAGAATTGATGTTGTAAATTTTGATCAAATAATTATATAAAAAGCATTTTATCGAAATTTAAAATATATTAAAAATATGATATAAAAATAACATATATATTTTGGCAGAAGATTGCTAATCTTTTAGCAATCTTCAATGAAAGCTAATATTATAAAGATTAAATATAATAAAGATTAAATATAAATAACTAAAATAATAATGTATTTAAGATTTATAACATGTGTTTTAGCAATAGTCTTATGAAATGGTCATATCAATACCAGTCATATATTTCTATTAGAAGAGCTTAAACCAATTGAAAGACTGAATAATATAGAATATAATCTTTAAAATTATTAAAGAATTAAAAACAAAAAAAACAATTATCGAGAGAGAGAGAGAGAGAGAGAGAGAGAGAGAGAGAGAGAGATTCAAATGAAACTCTAATCTATTAATTGATATTCTTTTGTCATTTTATATGTACGAGTATCATCTTAGTAAAACAATAGTTGTTTTACTTCATAAAAATTTCAATAACCAATTAGAAAACATAGAAAAACATTTAATATAAACAATTTTTTATTGTAATTGACAAAACTATTAAAGTTCACTGGATTCGCGAATACCGATTAGGACAAAAATGTTTCTAAACAATAAATTTTTGTCTGAAATAAGATGTAGAATATGTCGTGGGCGGATATATCTCAACGTGTCATAATGTGCGCCAAATTGGCTCGACCAAACGTCCACGATCTATGATCAAACGTTCCTCTTTTATTCGAAGGACATCTTCGAGAACTGCCACCGCGGTCATCCGCATGGTTACAGAATCCATTCAAGTCAGCTTCCTTCTCCATCTGTGCTTTCTTCAAAGCGCCGCCGGTCGCCAAGTATTCCCGTAGTCAGCCAGACAGGAGCTTAAAGCAATTTCGGCCAGGTGTGTGTCCCGATGCGGTGGACAGGCGACTTGGTGAAATCTCTTCAGGGCGTCGCAGAGTGTTTCGATCGCCTCATCGACCCTTTCGTTTTCCATACTGGCCAATCCACGTTCGTACAGAGCCTCGCACTCCCGTAGACATGCAAGCCGATCCTCCAAGCAAATTTTCTTTTGACAGTCTGGGCATTTTATCGGCTTACCCTGCCGGGATCGCAAGTGCAGTCCGCCACATCCTACCGTAGGACACCTCGAGAAAAAAAATGTCAAAAGAATATTTTACAGAATCTTTCTTGTCATGAAAATTTTATTACGATATTATCGATAAAAATCAAATCGAAATCAAATCGAATTATAATTTATGTCAGAAAATTTGACGTATTTTTCAATCTCCAAAATTATTCCGTTATCAGAAGTGAATTTTAAGAATATAAAAAATATAATATAAATTATAATAGTTTTGTTGATATTTTTGACTTATAGAAGTGTTTTACAATTATGATCATTTTAATAACAATTTGAAGAATCGATTTTTTTTCTTTTCAGTGAAAAAAAATTTATCTTTTACATTGTAAAAAATAAAATGTTAATTTTAATTTAAAGACATTTAGTGGAGTTTCTGAGACATACAAAAATGTTAAAATTAACACAAAAATTAATTTTAACATTTTTGCATGTCTCAGAAAATTCACTGTACGTCTTTTAAATTAAAATTAACATTTTATTTTTTACAATATATCGTAAGTCTTCCATTTATTGTATCATTTATGTATGTTCATAAATAATCACAAAAAATTAGAATGAAGCAAATCTCCGTTGGAGATTATTTGCAAAACGTGATCTTATTCTCTATTCGATTCGTTAATATTTCGTACAAATGTAATTAAGAATATAACATCATAAAAAATGTGAAACATAAAAATGCTTTAGTTGATATTATATAAATCCCAACCGCTGAAACATCAACGAAGATGCGCAACTTAAAAGAGTTACATTTGCGTTAGCATGATGATGAAATAATTATTCATAATTGAACTTTTGTCCGACGTCACGGAGTTCCTCAAAGAGGAACTCCGTGGTTTATTTCTCTAAGAGAAATACACATACACTGTCAGCGAAGCGACACTCCGTACGTTTTGTTGACGTAAAAGACACAACGTAATGGTGCCACGTAGTGGTGCCACTATCCAGAAAATTACCGCGAAACTGATAAAAGCACCTGGCCGTGTCGTTGCAGTTGGTATAAGAATCTTACGACGACGAACAGAAGTACCTTTGACGACAGGAGCATCCTTACGGTACAAGCGCTTCTTTCCTTTGAAGAACTCGTCTCATCAGGAGTTGCGGTTTTTAACGATCTCGAAAAACATCTCTAACTCTCTTTCACTCTCCATCACTCTCCCTCTCTTCTTTCCCTCTCACTTATTCATTTTCTCTCTCTCTCTCTCTCTCTCCTTCTCTCTTTTGGTCGCTTGTTATTTTTTCCGTCTATTCTTGTGCTTTTACTCATTACTGTGGTTTACTATCATTATATTTCTCGATTTTTTTCGGGACATTCAAGTCGGACATTTTTAAACGAAAGAAACTGTTAACTATATTAATTAAAACGTACATGGCAACAAAGTGTGTACATCTCTAGACATCGTTAATGAGTAACTCTTTGCATTACTTCCAATAGATATTACTTTGTTAATTTCTTGACATGAAGACGTTCAACCGAAGAGAAATTTAAGTAAAGTGCCAATACAATCGTTCGTTTAATTAAATTAAATTACTTTGTTAATGAGCTTGATCTCAGAGAATTTAAATGAACATACCTCAACTTGACAGAATCGTTCGTCAGATTCTCAAAGCACGGCCAATCCTCCTGGCAGGCCTTGCACATACACTGGAACCAATATCTTCCCGTCAGTGTCCTTTGACGCTCGGCGAGAGTTCTCTTCGTGAATATCGGTCCGTAGTTTTCGGCAATAACGTCGCCGGGTCGCAAACCGCGTATCGCCCTTATTACGATATGTCGCCCAATGAAGTATCTGCGATTCGGCAAAAGGAGAATTCTAATCTTACTCCATTAATTAACGCCATAATGAAAATACATGCACCATCGTAAATAAGTACGAATCGATATATGATAACTATGCCAATTAATTATAATTATAGCTAAAAAATTTGCTATATAAACAGTAACTCTAAAGAAATTAAAAATATCAAATTCAAATAGTAAATTAAATTGCCTTTACCGGAGGGCATTAAATATTTACAAGAAAATTATAAAAAATATATACATGTATTCTTCTTATTTTTTGACACTAAATATTTTATTTTGTTTAACATGTACTCACATTGTTGATTATTTAATGATTAAATTGAAATTAATTCCTTAAGTAATATTCTGCTATTTCTAACTTGAAAGTGTTTTAAAATATTTTAATTCATAATATGTGATTAACAAAACAATCACATCCAATTAAACTATTTCTGTAGTTGAATTGTTTAGTTTCAAAGTAAATAGCATTCATATTCTAACATATATACTTAATACATGATAATCTTAATTTGAATGAAATTAATACATTTCTTGAGATTTATCCCTTGAAATTTTAATTAAATTAACGGTACGTTAAGTAGAAGCAGTGGCGACTAGGAATGATTAAAAATAACTCAAACATAACTGGAACATAATTGATGAAATTATAAATTTAACATTGTATCTTTTATATATTTTGCAATTTTCAGTATAAATGTACAGCATAGATTCCTTTTATTATTATTTAGATATTTTTATTTTAATCAAATGTATAATGATAAATGTGTCCAAATATTGTGTTAAAAGTTGTTAACAGCTATCTATCCAATATTCCACATGGAAGTTATTATCAAGTACACTAGTTAATAAATCGAAAAATGGAAAGAGGACGACGCACAATCACTTTGCAATGAAATAATAATCGTAATCATCACAATAGCACCGACGATGTTAATAACGTGAACAGTAACAATTTCCGCTTGTACCGAGTAGTGCAGACGAGTTTGTGACATTACGGAATAATGAGCGCGCTGGTGTAATTTCGCGTATAATGGCCGCGACCCACGAAGTCATCACAGGCGCGTTTTAGTGCTGCCCGAAAATTCACGTACTTAATTAGCGTTAATAGATTCGCAGTAGAAGCATCAATATATTCCCCAGGAGGAGAAATTAATTCGATTGCATTGTTCGCCTTTTAAATGATTCGATACATTAAATAAATTATTTCGAAACGAACAGCTGTCTCTTGAGCATATCATTAAAATTATTTATTAAAACAAATCGAATTCACAAGGAATTATTTTGTTTATCCATCAATTTAGTGAGTTTCCTGTAAACTCGCGAATTCATGTAAATTCGATGAAAGTGAGAAAATTTTGGCGAAAAGACAAAGGAGTTTTCCGGCGACAAAATGCGGGAAGTTGTTGAAGGGTCCCGGAGAAACTTCGTTTAATAGACTGCGGGCGGTCGCGGGTCGATTAATAATTCACACGTGATGACACAGCGATTGTGTACCGTCTGGTTATACTAATTAGTTCTCACGTCGATCTACGTCGCGGTCTGCTCTTTAACGCGGCTACGTTATTAATATGCAAATCAGGCCAAACCGAGCCATGTGCACTTCGCCGAGACGCGAAGTTTGATAAGACGACGTGCGTATAGTGTGTAAAAGTTGGATGTGTCTTAAGACAAAGTGTTTTTCTCAGAAAACTGTTAAATTCATTATGTATTCTATTTGAGGTATTTTTATCATTTCTGTAGCCACTATTCTCACTCAATACACCATTAATTTAACTAAAAAAACAATAAAATTAAACAATTTAACTCAAGAAAAGTTTGACTCACAAATTTAGTTTATTATTTACTAGATCAAATATTAATCAATTATTTTATTTATCGAATTCTGTTCATTATTTACTCGTGCATACACGGAAAAAAGAAAGTAATTGCTGTAACTGCATGTGATAACTGGTAGGTGTAAAATATGGACAGGTAAAATATAAGTATAATAGCTAATATCTTAGCTGTGATACCTATATTGTAACAATGACAACAAATTATTTCATAGTTTATAAATTTATAATTATGATAGCAAATTTTAATACGAACTAAGATTAGCTACGACAGGGATATTTTTTTCCGTGTACATTAACCTGAACATAATTTACTTTTGAAACTAACCACAGAAATGGATTGATTTACATTTTGACGAAATGTTATCTAACTTAAGGAATTAGTTACTATTACTCTTTTGATATCTATAATGAACAATAAAGATATCTTTGGTCATGGCAAGAGAGCAACGACGAATTAATCGCTCGTGACGATTACATTAGGTCTCACTTCTCTTCAGCAAAAAGCTTGATTTTTTTTTCCACAAAGACGTACTTCCCGAAGAACATATTTATCTTCTCTTTACTTGCTTACCTCGTCACTGCGGGATAGCAGTCGTGATTGAAACGGGCGACCGAGGGATAAATCGCCACGCCGAGGTAGACCGGACGACTGCCATGAAATCGATGCTCCGCACTCATTCGCGTCTCGAAAAACTCGTGGGCGTTAAATTGGAGCAGCTGCAGGTTCCTCAGCAGCAGGGCGGCCACGGTGATCTCCTCGACGCCCGGGACTTCTGCGAACTCGCCAAAGTTTCCGATATTAGTATAGCTCCCCCCGCGTTCTGTGCATTCCTTTATTCTCTCTTTTCCCCCTGTTCTTGACTTCCCGGCAAAAACTTTTCGCGACTCTTTCCACTGAACTGTTAAAATTACGGTTTTACGCGAATGGACGGACGCCGCGCTACGCCGTGCGGAGAATCTGCTGAATCGAAAATTTACCCTTTGTGCGAGCAAGCACATTTTTTCACCTTCTCTTTCTCTCGACTACTCACGATTCGGTAAATTATTCCGAAAGTTAAATACAGCCCCCACGAGAAGAAATCGGCGTATGTTACGGGTGTAAAGTGGCCGCTGATAAGTACCATCGTCCGGCGAGGGGTTTGCGAAAAAACCGACTCTCTGCAGACATTTGAGCAGAAAGGCTGCCATCAGCGATCTCTCTAGAAAGTCTTTGCTCGTCCGTTTGTCCGCGTGCGTCACCAAGTTATACGGAGCCACGTCGACGCTCTCGTCATCGCCTTCGCGGAACTCTTTTGTGCCCTTCTCCTCCATCATCTTCTTAATTTCCTCTCGTCTAGATTCCTTGAGTTTTCTCCGTCTGATTCTTCTTTTGACTGACTTACTACTCGCCGGCGATTTCATGTCGTGTGTATCCGGCGTCGCCATCGGCGTCATAGTAGAGGTAGCTAAAAGCATCGCGACCCTTTCCACATCGTTCTTCTTTAATTCCTCGTAGATCTTCAAACATTTTCGTGGACCCTCCTGTGTTACCATCCGAAGAGCGACCATGCTGAGCACGCTCATGCCAGAGCCTAAGGGAAGGAATTTAAGAGCGGCTTGTAATTACCCTATAAGGGTTTTGGCCCGTAGGGTATTCGAGATAATACCAAGCGTGTGTAAAGTAGCTTTTACTTAGCGAAAAAAATATCTCGATGACTATGATGACGTTTATTATTTAACTAAATACGAAGAAGCACTTATGGTACACAATTACGGTCAAAGTTGAATGTTAGACGAATACATATATATGTAAATTTTATTTCAGAAATGACTACGCGCCAATTAGTTTCGGTCTTTCAAAACAATCAATTTGAAATATTACTAATCCCCCCAAATTTAATTACATTGATTTTATGCTAACAGTTATCTTAAAACTATCTATATATTAAAGTTAGCTATAACAAACTTATTACGAAAAATATTACCTCATAAATTTATCATTTCTGAGATAAATGTTTTTATTAAAAAATACATGTATTAATTTAATGTTAAATTTTAACCGTAACTGACGCTTCTTCGTCTTGAGTTGATATATTCATGTAATGGTTCTATTTCTAATCTTAATACCGTTTATTATTTCTTTAATTGTCACAATGCTATCTTTTTAATTGCCATATCAAATGCATTCAATAAATATTATGATACTCTTCTTAAGACATTTATATAATGTTTTATTAAAAAAAACATTGGTTGAGACATCAATAATAACTTTTAGTTATACTGGATTTTAAAAATATTTCAGCAAATCTCCGATAGACTCTATTTTTCAGAATATTTTTATGAAAAATGTGATGGTCACTAATCTTAAAATCTCAAATATCGCGTGAATTTATAACAGAAATTTAAATCCGTTTAAGTTTCGGCAGGCAGGGAAATTAAAATTACGTCTGTTATTACAATGTCCGCTGAAACTACATTCGTTATCGAATGTTGTATACATTATACCGACATTGTCCATTCATGCTCTTACCTATCAGCAACGCCAGGACTTTGCACTCGTACTTATGGTACGTCGCCATCGCGACTTCCCTGCATTTCTTTCCACAAAAGGCAACACAGCTGCAATTCGGGCATCCAACCGGCGCTCTTAGCCTAAAAATTGTCCGAATATTCGTAAATCGATCGAAAGAAGAACAAGGTTAGTCCAGAAAAAGCGAATTATGTAAATTGAATAAAAGCCGAAGGAAAAATCGTCGTGCGAGGACAAAATTCAATCCAGGTAAATTTAGATCGATCAACAATCTCGAGTAATAGATTTCAAATGTAACGAACGATTTCACAAATTCAAATCACTTTGTAAAACGTCGTGAATCCGGAAGTTAATTTAGAAAATGAAGAGAATTCATAACTGATTTTGAAAAACAGATTTTGAAAAACATTTAATTACACGGAGAAAAATGAATAATCTTTCACAAGTATATTAAAAATATTTTGGCTACTTTTACTGAATTTATGACGGACTTTACTTATCTGAAAGTGAAAGATATCGGAGATGTAAAGTAAAAAGTACATTACAATTATAATCCATTCAAGTGATTATCTTATAGTAAAGTAAATCATATTATTCTCAAGAGTGCAAGCACGAACAACTCTTAAAACTTTATATATTTATATATTTTTTTTCGTGTAATAAAATAAATTTTGTCAACGCTAAGCAAGAAATACTCATCAATAAAATAAATTTTACTAAGTATGCATGTAATTTATAAATTAAGAAATATCAAATTGTAGTAGCATAAAATTTACTTTATGAAATAAATAAAAAGTATCTTACAATATACACAACGATTGTTCATATTTACTAGAAAAGTAAAGTAAATTTTATATAAGTAGTATTTTATATAAGTAGCTTATCTTTATACTGAAAAAACTTATTAAATCTTAATATATATTTTTTTGAATAGTACTAAGTAAACATTTACTTATAGTAAATAAATATTTATTCCATAAAGAAAGATAGTTAAATTAATGGTTTTTGTATCAAGTAAGTTTATATTTTTTCATTCAATAAATATTCACTTAGAATCGTTCAAACAAATATTTATTAAAGTTTTTCAGTGTACATGGACCTGCCAATTCTATAAGCTTTACTAGAATTCTAGCACATATTACTTCACATTTTTCTCTGTGTAACGTCTAAAAAATCCATTCTTGATATCTTTACAAAATTGGATTTTTGATATTATTGGTTCACTGGCGTGAACCGCATTCATTGAAACAAACTGTTCGTTTATGTTTGTTCGCGTTCGTTAATTCGGTCGACTTTGAACATGCGTGCCATTCTGAAATTTTTCGCGGCTCAGTCAGCGCACGCGGCTTTTTTATCTTTCTGTAATAACGAGTTTTTCCCGGCCACATACGTCGTTCGTCGTTCGCTTCGCCCGAGCGTCGCTCGGGTTAATGAAATCCACTTTCTCTCTCTCGCCATCGCGGGTTTATCCGTAAAAAGCTGCGGATAACGGTGGGAGAGAGGAGAGGCAAATGGGGAAGAAGGGCTTGCCACGTACGTAGACAAAGCAGAAGCTACACACGGCGGATTACGCCGTCACCCAAGGCTCGCGTCCATTAAATCCGGCAGAAGACGAGGGGATACACCCGGGTGAGAGAACTCGACGGCAATTTTCTCCTCACCTTGCGTAACAATGCTGACAATGGGTGCCGTAGAACTCGGGCAGGAGACAGCCCGCCAGCGGCGGCTCGACTAACAGAATATCACCCGGATGTATCTCCGCGGTTGCAACGGCGTGTTTACCCGCCGTCGTGGTCTCACGGATTTCCAGGGCGCCGGACGACCAACGAAGCTCGGAATTAACGGCGCCATTTAACGGCGTGCCGTCGCCGCCACCACTATTGCCTGCAAAGACGCAGTACAGTGTTTTCTTAGGGTGAGTTTTGCTACGACCGAGTTAATGGAACGGCAGGTATCTCTCGCGAGATACGCGGATTCGCTTGATGTTGTTTAAACTCTATTACACGCAGGGTATACATGATACTTTAAACACAGATTCTTTAATAAACGCTCGTAAAATGAGACAATGAAAACAGCGAGATCAAGGATTTTCGCATATATTTTTGATACATCAAAGGCATACAGGGTGACTTAGACTTCGCGTTAATAGCAAATTCTTGAGATTATATCGAAATGAAAATTCTAATACCAAAATGTCGAGGATATAGTAGTTTTTAAATGAGAAGAGTTTAAAGTTAGTTAATTGAACTATCCAAAATTCGCGTGCTAAGGCACGACTAGAAATCCTCTACTAAGACCCGATTACACTAACTTTGACTTTAAGCAAGGTTTAAAATACATACCTTCTCTTTTTAAAGCCGAGATAGAGAGAGTTTTAAGCCTCGCTTAAAGTCAAAATAACGTTAATCCAATCGAGCCTAAAAGTTTGTGTATGAGAAAGCTATTTTTAATTAATCAGCAATTAGAAATCAACATTTAGAAATTGTTTTAACAACTTCTAAAAGAGAAATAAATAAAAAAAAGATAGAATAAAATGAGAAAGAAATAGTAAAGCGTCTTTCTCTTTCACAGATTTTTGTTAAAACTATTACTTTGCATATACTGCGGCTCATGTCTAAATGTCTAACTCTTATTAAAGGATCACTATAGGCATAACACATTGTACAATATAGTAAAGATGATTTTAAGCATCAATTCTATTCTCTTCTAAATTCTCTTCTATTCCCTACTGTACAATATTCATACTTGAGTGCGCAAATTTTGGACAGTTCAGTCGAATAACTTTAAACCTTTCTCATTTAAAAATTATAGCCTCGATATTTTGATATTAGGATTTTCGAAGTGATCTCAGGAATTTGCTATTAAAGTGTTATAGTCTGGGACATCCTGTATATTATATACATATATAAGTACGTACACGTTTAGCTTCAGCGAATATACACGTTGTGCGCGATACTCCGCGAACGGTATCGAAAATCCAAGAGGGAAAGCTTCGCTTTTTACCCTCTTTTTCGCCACGGATTTTTCGATGCGAGAGCAAAACAAGAAAATAACCCTTCTCCAGTTCGTCTATGAGCGTACGGTAGTACCTCGCGCGCACGCGCTATGTTATTCTCTTTGCACTCTCTGTGAGCGTACACGCGCGTTATCTCGAGAATGCTCGACGAAATAGGCGCGGAGCATAGCGCTCTTTGTTCCGCATTTCCACGTCGATTTCCATCAGCGGAATGAATCGGGTTGACGGCGTGAAAAGTTCTGGTCTCGTTCCGCCGTTCATGAATGAACGGCCGGAGAAGGGTGAAGAGAGAGATCGGTATTACGGCCTATTACGAGCCGTAGTACGCAAGTCGGCTGACGCGGTAGTTCATTGCGACGAGGCACGTGTGTGATAAGGACGAGAAAGGAATAGAAAGAAGCAGAAAAAGGAGAGGAAGATGAAAAAGTCGTGCAACTGCGCGACGATTTTGCCTCGGCCTTAATCTCGCGATCGAGATCGCGAACTCTGAAATCGCCGATAATTCAGCGTGTAAAAATCATCTCCAAAAAATCGTGTTGACGAGGACCCTTGCATTTCCAACGGAATAATTTCGTTCGGATGTATGAAACCGATTGGATGTGATTGAAAAAACCTGTAAAAATTGCTTATTTTCATAAATTGCTGTGATTTTTGTTTTAAATATTTATAAATAAATTTCCAAATGTATAAGTAATGTTTATTAACCCTCCGAAGCTGATGGTGGATCTATTGAACTCATTCAATTATATTCTTTATATTACATTTACAAATTTAAATAATTGTTAAATAATTAAAATAAAATTAGTATTCACACACATATTCATTTGAGTATGAGTTATGTCATTTTGGTTTTTGAAATTACCTAATTAGTGTCTTAGTTAACATAAATTAAATGGGTCTCGCAGATTCAGCGTCAATAACTGCGTTATAGATATTAATTAATAAGCATTAACGTTACAACTAAATAATTTTAATGTCAGCTCCAGAAAAGTTTACATATTGGTATGATTAAATTTGAAAAAAATGTAATTTTAATAATTCGATAGCAATAGATAAATGGATTATTGTTGGACGATCAGATTCAATAGCGATAAATCAGAATCCATTAATGTGTCTCCGATAATAAAGTTTTATGAAACGAGTCTTCGTTTTACTGTTAATTCGATTTACACGCGGTACGAAAGTTCCTCTACGATTTAAGACTCCCGCAAGAGATCTCCGGGTTAACGAGAACGTGTAAACAAGCCGCAATCCTGCGCGAAACGCCATTTCCGGTTATCTCGACCGTGACGTTTGCGTGTGGCATGCTGCCCACTGGGGTGTTCTAATGAATGGAAGAAATTGCTACAGTCCGAAAGGGGGATATGTACACACGACGAACCGATTAATCACGGTCCGTCTGGAAGTGACGATATCCGCAATATCGTGTGAAGCTGCGGCTCGTGCGTTTTAATCTTTAGCCGAGGGTAAAAACGTATAGATAAAAATTGAGTTTTTCAGTAAAAATTAATTAAGTTCAACAATCGAAAATAATCCATTAAAATTTCTATTTCTGAATTGTCACAGCAATTTTGAGTTTAAGCAATATCTCGTAACATAGCAATTTATAAATCAAATTAAAAGAAATCAAATATGATGGAGATTGGATTTTAATAACCTGATAACATTTTTGTACAAATTTTAAACACATCTTTACATATATTAACTGAGTTATTAAATTATCAAACTTAAAACGTAACTAAATCTTTGAACTTCACTACAGATTTTTATATTCGGACTGTATAAAAATTTGAAAAATTTTTACACTTGTGAAAACTTCAACAACGAATTTTAACTATCATAGAAATCGTATTTTTCTTATTGAATCAGATAATTGCTATGCCTTTAAAATTCAACATTGCTTGTCGATGGAAAGTTTACATAAAGATTATTAGACACCAAGATTCAGCATCGCTCGTAATTAGATACTTCTTTAGTTATTTGATTTTTATATCCGTTTTTACCAATGTAGATTAATCTTTAACCAATGTACTTTAATCTTTGTTCAATATATTCTTCACCTTTTTCTAATTCTAAGAATAGAAAAAGATAAAAAGTAAGTTAAATTCATTATTTGAGTTTATCAATTTGGGAGTTCCAAACTGCAATATTAAAAAAAAATCCCGTTTTGCTTTTATATCAAAAAAATATATTCTCGAAGAGAATTTCTCACCCATATTCATCACTGTTCAACTGAGATTATACATTGGTAGAAACTGACATTATTCATATATCTATTTAGTTTAATTTATTATTGTAGTGTTTATGTTTGTTTGATGTTAATTTCGAGAAAACGTTTAGATATCATAAAAACATTACCATCACGTTTTCCTATGTATGTTCACTCGTCATTTGTGTTCGCGAATATATTTCATTATTCCATGACATTACGGATATCACAGAATAATCACTGATGAGCGCGAGTTACATTTGCTCGAATTTCATCCCTGCGACTTCGAATTTTTTTTCCGCATTTTTACAGTTAACGCAACGTCGCGTCCGTCGTCGAAAAAAATATGCGAAGGGAATAATATCCGCGGATGGGTATGGAGCGCGTGTTAAAATTGCAGGATCCATTTACTAATTTACGATCCGACGGGCCGATTACCGCAAAGAACGTACGGTGTACGATGAATGGAAAAAATATTCATTCGCGCGCGCGCAAAATTTCCACGTGGATAACATGAATTTATATTGACTTGTATTCATGAAGAATCTCTGGTTTGAAACCAGAATGACTCAGTCTAAGTCCTTTCTCCGATTATCTCTTTATTATTTACAAATTAATGAACTGTTCAACTGATAATTTCATTTATTCAATTTTTTAATTTGACATTACCCAATTAACATATTCAAAAATACATGTGCATATCGAAATATTTATTAAATCTTTTATTAAATAATTTCGTTTTTTCGAAAAGTATTGTTCTCTTCTTTTCGAATTTATTTTCACTCATTAAGAGCGCACAAAAAATTTAGGATTAAAGCCAAAGTTTTCGATTGCTTTTCTGTTAGCAAGTTCTGAAAAATTAATACTCCAAATCATCCTCCAATGTTATCCTAGATGATAAAAAAGACATGTCACGAATTGAGGATTAACCAAAAGTAGCCAGCGCTGCGATAAAGAAGGTGTGATGAGTTGTAATGATTGAGTCATAAATAACAAATATCATTAGTTTCTTTTTAAAAGAAAGAGAGCTTAATTATTGGTGGAAAATAAATTACTATTGACTCGATCGAGTTAAAAAAAAAATGTTTAGAGAAAATAAACGTGTCACTCTAAATCTATAGCAAATTTTATTGTTAACAAAAGTGAGTAGCAGTCATTGCTTTAAGTACGGATTTTCACTGCTTTGAAGTTAATCTATCTATTCTTACATAAAGGAGTGAACTATTTCATTCGATTAATCGAAGTGATTTAAGCATTAGTTAGTAATGCATTGCAAGATAACGCATTGAATGTTACTGCAAGGAGTGCATTTAGCGACATAGCGCACTGTCGTCAAAATTATATACGTATATATCATTATATCATTAAACCATTATTTTACCATTAGATAGATTAAATTTATAACGTATATAATTTTTACAAAAATTTATATTTAAAAATAAGGTTAATAGGTTAACAGATTGATAGCATCTTCTAGTCAAAATCTGTCTTCGTAGGCTTTGTTATCTGGATTTGGAATGACATTATTCTGTCATTATTATTCTAACCTCTAAATTCACTCCTTTTCGGAGTAAATTTTTCACTCCAATTATCGAATGGATTTTCCATTATCATCTTGCAGTAAAATTTACTGGCAGTAACATTGGCGCAATTGCCACT